AAAAATCACTTATACAATTATTGAAACGCTAATTCGTCTTCGATTAATAAATCTAGCATAAATGTATGTCTTAACGGTTTTATATCTATAATTATAATTATATTATTATATTATTATATTTAATAAAAGTTATCATAATGTTAAAAACGAATACAAGTAAAATACATACCCCAAAGTTTCTAAAATTGCTATAAGTTTTGGTCCAATAATATTTGATTGATCTGTACCATTAGTAAAATCATTAACAGTTTTACCACGTGGAGCTTTCCATACCATTAAAAAGTCTGTAGTATTAGAAAATGCAGTAAAATCTATATGCGAAATACTTGACCCAGTTTGATAAGGCACAAGACTTGTTTCAATCAAACATGAATCATTTACGTGTTTGGCATTATGTGTCATAAATGCTATCGAAGATGCAGTAGATGCTTTTTTAAATATATCAGCCGCTGGTACAAACTGTGGCGAAGATTTAAATGCATTGATAAATTCTGAAGTATTATCAAATTTAGCACTAGAATTGACCCCACCAGCAAATTGATTAAGATTAGAGGTAACAGTCGATAAAGGTTTTCCATTTTCAGTAAAAACCAAATATTTATCAAATGCAGTTTCTTGAAATCCTGTGAATGTTATTGTACCATTTTGAGGAGCTATAAAACTTGGGAATGGAGTCAATGCATCAGGCATGCCAGATTTGAACCAAGTATCCCAACTTGATAATAAACCTAATCCATGCATCATTTCATGTACAAGAACTAGAACAAAATCCACTTGTTGATCAGTTGGTGGTGACGGATCATCTTGAAACCAAAATATGTCGCTTGCAGAATTGAATGTTGCGGTGATATCATATTTAGTATATTCTGGATGTGTATCAAATTGAAATTGTTTGGCAAGAGCTTGAGGGTATAATCGGGTGACACCATCTTTATCTTTTAATGGAATAAATCTTGAGGGGGTAGCAAGACCTAATGAAATATATAATATTAGTAATTCATGAAAATAACATATATTTAAATAAGCGATAATGTTGAGAATCACATACCTAATGGGCCGGGCAATTTTATAAATGATGCATTCACGAGTATTGGTGTAGTCAAAATTATCTTGGAGTTGATAATCTTTGCCGCTGTTTCGAATGCCTTCTTAGCTTTATCACAAGTATTATTTGAATCACAAGTGAAATCCATTTGAATCATGTTTTGAGAAGGGGGTTTACTTTTTGAAGAGTCATTATCCTTTAAGGTGACATCGACATCTAGTTGAAATTTACTTCTTAATTTACTTAAGAAACTTTGTGATTTTGGCGAATTTTGATTTTTATTTTCTTTAATGATTCGACAGGGTGATTTTGCGCATTGACGATCATAAAAGACCGGAAAATCCACACATTGTCCGGAAACGATGGGTATATATGAAATGAAAGTGTACGGGAAAGTAGTGATTAGAAATAATGGAATGGTGAAAAATGATGGCTTCATTTTTTTTTTTTTTTCTGAAGAGAAAATTTGATAATTGTTCGAAAAAAAAGTTATTAAATTATAGACAAAGTTCGATGTGCAAAATGACGTAAATGACGTAGTTGTTGAATACAAAGGTATTCTTTTCTTTAATTATGATTAAACTAAATCTTGAAATGTTTAAAGAAATTCTTTGTTATAGGTTCTTTGTATAAATATTTATGTGTATGCTAACTGTTTTTACATGTCAAGATACAATTTGATCTTTGCTGTCTTTTTTAATATACGTGCTAGAGAGATTGGTCACCACGTATATAGTTTGCACAGACTTATGTTAAACGACGTAAGACATAGGCAAGTTCCTGCTATCTGCGTCCTGCGTCAGATTCGAACAAAGATATGAAAGCCTTATAATGAATATAGGAATACGGTGACTGGAAAACTCATCTTTCTTACCTTATATGCATTTTGAGAAATTAAAATTTTACAAATTTATATTATACTTGCGCACATTGTAGAAAATTTGATCTATAAATAATAAACAATTGTTTATTTTCTTGAAACGGTAAGTATTGTTTAATAACATAAGTACACACCCGTTAAGACATACATTTATGCTAGATTTATTAATCGAAGACGAATTAGCGTTTCAATAATTGTATAAGTGATTTTT